CTCTCCTGCCCGGGCTGGCTTTGAACCTCGATCCTCAGATCTCAGCCTCCTGAGTAGCTAGGATTATAGGCGTGAGCCACCAGCGCCCGGCTTTCCTTGAGATTCTTATCTCCAATTAACCACCAGGAAAAAACAAAACAAAACAAAAAAACACGGAAGTGGTACTGTGGCTCAAAGTGGTAGAACTCTGGCCTTGAGCTGAAGAGCTGAGAGACAGTGTCCAGGCACTGAGTTCAAGCCCCACAATTGACAAAAACAAAAAACAAAAAAAAACAAGTATCACAGAGACTTTTCTGCCAGGCTGGCTTTGAACTGCAATCCTCAGATCTCAGCCTCCTGAGTCGATAGGTTACAAGTGTGAGCCACCAGTGCCTGGTTTCATACCTATTATTTGTTTTTTTTTCTTTTTGTCAGTCATGGGGCTTGAACTCTGGGCCTGGGCACTGTCCCTGCTCTCTTCAGCTCAAGGCAAGTGTTCTACCACTTGAACCACAGCACTACCTCCACTTTTCTAATGGTTTATTAGAGATAAGAGTCTCATAGACTTTCCTGCCCAGGCTGGCTTTGAACCGTGATCCTCAGATCTCAGCCTCGTTGAGTAGCTAGGATTACAGGCATGAGCCAACAGCGCCTGGCTCATACCTGTTATTTCTTAACAATATACTTTTTCATGTCACTTAAAAATTTCATCTTATACTTACCGAATGATATCTTCCAGAGTTTGGCATTTTGTGAATATTTTTTCATGTGCTGGTATAAAAAGGAACATGTAAGTGAAATAAATTGCTTGAGATTGTGTGTGTGTGTGTGTGTGTGTGTGTGTGTGTGTGTGCATGCCAGTACCAGGGCTTGAACTCAAGGTCTTGTGCTTTTGCTCAGCTTTCTTGTTCATAGCTGGCCCTCTACCATTTGAGCCACACCTCCAACCTGGCTTTTTACTGATTAATTGGAGATGGAGTCTTGCAGACTATTCTGCCTGGGCTGGATTCAAACCTTTGTTCTTAGGTCTCCTCCCCTTAAGTATCTAGGATCACAGTGTGAGCCTACAGCACATAGTCACAATGACATACAGGGGCTACTTGACTTATGGGTGACTTAAAAACCAAGCTGACTTCATAGCTATTATGATTAAGGTATAGTAACAAATCCTATGACGCACTCTCTAGACTAGAACACTTCCCACTGTTAAATTGCCCATACCTGAGGATGGAAGGGGAAAACTGGAAAAGAGTGAGGGAAGGCGAGACATTGTCCACAAAGAAATGTACTCTTTCCTGGACTTATGTAACTGTAACCCTTCTGTAAATCACCTTTATAATAATAATAATAGACTTTAAACCCTCCCATACTGTACCACCTTCCCATCCTTTCTGCCTACATAGGACCACAATCCTGAGAATTTATGTTCCATCCTTCCTTGGTTTTACTCTGTGTAAACTTCCAAAATTGTTTGGCTTTGCAGTGCCCTGCAAATGGAACTCTCCATTGCATACTTTTCTGACTTTGTTCTATTATTCAATATTAGGTAAGATTCACCTGTGCTAACCCGAAGAACTGCTATTTCCCTTCCATTGTTGCAAATAACAGACCCGGCAGGCATATACTGCACATCACTGGGTTTTCCTCTTTGATGAACACCTGGACTGCTGCTAGAGTTTTGCTATTACAAACAGTTTTGCTCTGAACAGCCTCCTAACTGTCTCTTGCTAAACATTTGGAGAGTTTCTCTATGGTACATATTTGCAGAGAAAGAAGAATCGTTCACATTAGGTCAGAGATCAGCAAACTCTTTCCTTAAAGGGTCTGGACCCATGTGGTCTTTATACCAGGGTAGTGTGAAAACAGCCATAGGTAATGCATCAATGAATGGCCGTGGTTATGTTCCAATAAAACTTTATTGACAAACCCAGACAAGATTTGGCCCTCTGAACATGATCTGCAGCTTCCTGATCTAGAGAAGAAGTTATTTCTTTTCTTTGTGTGTGTGTGTTTTTGTTTGCTTGTTTGCTTGTGTGTGTGTGTGTGTGTGTGTGTGTGTGTGTGTGTGTGTAATGCTAGGGCCTAAACTCAGGGCCTTGCACATGCTAGCACTGGACTGCAATCCATATCCTAATTGCATATGGATGCTACTGTACTCTTCTCTCCATCTCCCCAAGCGGGTATGAGAACTGTTTGCTTCATGTATGCCCACAGATTTGGAGGAGGAGAAAGGACATGGGCAGGGTGGTAAAGATGCACCTGCCCCATGGCTTGTGTCTGCCAAGGTCCTAGGGAACTGGGGACCAGAAAGGGTTGGGGGCTCCTGCCTCATCGTTGTTGGCTCTGGTGGGAGGGCTGTTCATAGAAACCAGTGTTATATGCCACCCTGTGGGACAAAGCGATTCAAACAGACAGCTTTCTTTATGGAGGAGTGGGACCTTTATTCTTTTCACCTGCTGTTCAGAAAGCTGGAATTGGTTTCCTGAGGCTGCTTCCCTGAACCACAGGAGTGTGATTGTGTGTGTGTGTGTGTATGTGTGTGTATGTGTGTGTGAGTGTGTGTGTATGTCACAGCTTCCTGTTCCGGTTCTTTACTTAACTGGTTTTGCTTCAAAGATAATCATTTCCGTTGTCTCAGATGTGACAGTGCCACTGATCCCCAATTTCTGGCCCTCCTGCCCTTTCTCCACCTTCGTCTCGATGTTGCATTTCTCTACCTTCTTGGCCATGATGTCCACCTCTCGGTTGTGCGAGCTGACCATGGTCTTTGAACTCGGAATGGCTATGAGATTCCGCAGGAAAGAGCTGATTTTGCTTGGTTTCTTGCCGGAAGCGCCCGTTGCACCCCCAGATCGAGTCTTCCTTGGCTTGTGAGCCGGTTTGCTCTCCTTGGCGCTAGAGCTGCGGCTGGTGCTTTTGTGAGGAGACCCACGTCGTTTGCCCCTGACGGTGCTCTGCCCTTTGGGCGGCTTCTTGTGATCCTCCTTTTTGTGACCGTGGCTGGATACAGACTTATGGGAAGACGATTTTCGAGGCTTGTCCTTGCTCACCCTGTGGTGGCTCTCACTGGTCCTGTGATGATGGGAGCTTTTCTGACTAGTGGTTTTCTCCTTCTTTTCTCTCTTCTCCCTTTTTTCCTTGTGGATTTCGGGCCCCTGCTTCTGACTGCCATCGCGCTCACACATGTAGCCTTCGCTCTTCAAAGTTGACACCAGGGGTGGCGCAGCACTGGGTTCCACTTTGCCCTTCTTCTCCTCAGGTGCATTGGTGAGCATGGTACCTGCAAAGACCACGCTCAGACTGCTGTCGGCGGACCTGCTTGTGACCCCTGCCGTGGACACGTCCACCGAAGAGGTGCTGGCTGTGCCCGCCACGGCCACGTTGACACCCTCTGAGGATCCCACGGTGGTGGCAGCTGCCAGGGTCTTACCAACCCCACCTCCCTTGAGTTCCTTGCTGGCACTTCCTGCCACAGCCGCTGTTAGGTGGCCAGAACCCGGGTGCTTGGTGGTGGAAAGGCTCCCCGCACACGAGGCAGTGCTGGTGCTGGATCCTACCATGGCCAGACTGGCTGTGGAGCCTGCTCTCGACCCCGCAGCTGCCATGCTATAGGTTGGTCCTGCTGTGCCCGCACTGACCGGTCTGGTAGAGCTGGGGGCTACTAACGTCGAGGATCCCGGTGGTATTCTTTCTCCCCCAGCGTACGCAGAAGAGGAGGCTCCAGATAGCTCACCACACTTCCGAGGCCCAGAATCTTGATCCCCTTCCCCATGGAGCTCTGAGGACTGCATCAATGAGAGGAGAAATAGGTCAGCCAGGCGGCAGAGAGAGGAGGGTGGGAAGGGAGAGGAGAGGCCAGAACTGAGCATGAGAACAGTTTGGAATCACCTGTTAAAAGTTTATGTGTGTGTGTGTATCTGTGTGTGTGTGTCTGGTGTGTCTGTCTGTCTGTGGGGTGTGCACGTGTGGCACTGATACTGGGGCTTGAATTCAGGGCCTCATGCTCTTGTTTGACTTTTTCACTCAGGGCTGGTGTTCTACCACTTGAGCCACACCTCCCTACCATGATATGATTTCTTGTGCTTCTGTATTTGGCAGAACACATTTCCAGAAGCAGGATTGTTAAGTCAAAGGATATATTTCACATTTTGGTGGTCAGTGAAACAAATTATAAATGTCCATGTACATCTAAGTGCTATGCCAATTTACACAAATATCAGCACATTGTTGTGTCAGGAAGAAAAAATCCAGTTCAGGGCTGGGAAGGTGGCTCAGTGGTAGAGCGCTTGCCTTGCATGCCTGAGGCCCTGGGTTCGATTCCTCAGCACCACATAAGCAAAAAGAAAAAAGGCTGGAAGTGGCGCTGTGGCTCAAGTGGTAGAGCGCTAGCCTTGAGCTGAAGAGCTGAGGGACAGCGCCCAGGCCCAGAGTTCAGGCCACACAACCGGACCCAAAAAAAAAAAAGTGTAATTTTAGGCATTAGCATATATGAATTGGACAACATAGATTTTGTTACATATGACTTCAGTATCGATCATATTTAACCCTGTTACTCTCTCTCACCTCCCTTCTTCTTCTAGTGCCACTCCCCCTCCAAATCATAATAGTCCAGGCCTCACTCTACTTTTGTCTTTTTCTTTCTAGAATCCATGTTAGAGGAAACAGATAGTTGTCTTGTTGAGCCTGCTTGATTCTGCTTAACATGATGATCTTGACATAATTTTGACCTTCATAGCTGACTAACACTTCCAAATGTGTGTTTGAGAGAGAGAGAAAACACATTTTCTTTCTCCATCCATTGTTGGGCACTGAAGCTGATTGTACAACCAGGCTATTGTGAGTAGGTAAATATACCTGTCTGTTATGCTGACTGGCGCTGGCTGACACAGTGGCCATTTTACATTCCTTTACACCTTCCACACTTGACATACCAACAGTATGGGAGGGTACCCTCTTCCTCTGACAGCCATGGTGGCCTGCCTACCTTCAACACTGTGGATGTACAGTATGATTAACACAGGTTTCTCTCTGCTTTTATGACTCTAACTTGAAACCATCTAGTGGCCTGGTTACACCAACAGCCACAGAATACTCACCATGGTGATGAGGACTGATGCTAAGGATACAGAGCCTTTATCTGATCGGGGTGTTGACTTGATGCCCCAGTTATTTCTCTCCAGAGGAAGAGGACTGTTGCTTTGACACACATAGGCATCTCCACACCTGAGTCTTTTGATGAAGTCTGAAGATAGAGGAAGAGCTGCAGAGTGAATTCTGGGCAAGGGCACACTATGGTGGGCAAGTCCCCACCCCCATGTTGTCTGACTGACATCTGTGGCTCTGTCCAGCCTGCTTGCTGAGGCATAAACGGAGAAGGACTTCCTTAACAAGACTGAGGTGGGGGGGGAGGGCGGGGAGGAGGGAGGAGATGAAAGACAAAGCCATGGTTTGCCCAATCGTGAGGTTGGGGTGCTCAGTGCAAAGATGAATCCGCCATTGGCATAGCTATGGGGTGGGTACTGTGGCCCAAAGACTTGGAAAAGTCTTCGTCCTTTTCCTCCCTTGGTCTCCTCTGTATAGGCTCCCTAGAGCCTGCTCAGGTCTTTCCATATGTCTCCGCCTTCTGCTGTTCCCACTGCTAAAGGTCTTTCCCCCTCCCCTCATCTAGATTTACAGGACCCATCCATCTTGGTTTGTTGAAAATCACATGGTAGAATTTCCCACCCACCCACCACCCCTTATTCTTCCAGCCACCTCTCCTCTCCAATGCCTGCTCTTTTCCTTCCCTTCTATCCACACGTTGGCTCAGAAAACCCACTCTCTGTCCCCGTAAGACACTACTGTCCTAGAAAATAAGCCAAGAATTGTAAGGCTAGACAGGGCTCTACCCTCCAGGCTCAAGTGAAAATGGGCTTCCTGCAATCCGGTGATTCTTGTCTCAAATCCAACTGTGTGTGTGTGTGTGTGTGTGTGTGTGTGTGTGTGTGTGTGTGTGTTTATTAATCTAGGTTTAAGGATTTCCATTGTCTTGTGAAGTTAACGTGGGGTTTTTTTTTAAATCACAATTGTTTACAAAAAGACTTTAAGAATTTACGATCCCTTGCTGGGTGCTAGTCACTCACTCAGGAGGCTGAGATCTGAGGATCACAGGTGAAAGCCAGCCCAGGGAAAGAAAGTCCACAAGACTCTTACCTCCAATTAAGCACCAACAATGCCAGAGAGTGAAGCTGTGGCTCAAGTGGTAGAGCATTAGCGTTAAGCAACAAATCTCAAGGGCAGCTCCCAGGCCCTGAGTTCAAGCCCCAGAACCAGCACCAAAAAAAAAAAAAAAATAGAATTCATAATCTCATTTATTTATTTATTTACTAATTTTCTCTCCTCTTCCTCCTCCTTCTTCTTCTTCTCTTCTTCATCCTCTTCCTCTTCTTCTTTTCTTCCAGTGCTGGGCATCAAACTCAGGGCTTCATGCCAGCTATGTGAATAGTCTGTCT